ACCCTACAACGTGAGGACACGCTGCTGAGTAGGACCACGGCACCACGCACCACCCTGCTTCCTTCGTCTCCGGCCTCGGCACGTGCCAGGCTTCCTTTTGCTATCCAGTTCATGTGACAAAATGGTTGAGTATCTTCTGCCTGCCTTGGTGAGAGAGGATGGAGCCCAAGGAACTGCGACGTCAGGAAACTCAGCTGCTCCCCACCCCAGTTCTGCTAGCATGGCACCAGGTGGGACCTGGAAGATATGTTACTCTCCCGTAGTCCCACTACCTGGGACCTCTGTGAAATATTTAATATCTGTGGGTAAACACATACTTAATGCAAGTCTTTCTAGGGTCCTTTTCTCTAAGCTAAGGATTAAAAGCTAACTTGTTCTCTGAGGTCTTCTACAAATAGCAAGTAGCAGGCTGCACCTCAGCTGTCCTACACAGCAGGTGGGTTCAGGGAGAATGAGCAAAGTAAAAGTGATAGCAGGAAAGCAACTTGGAAGTCAGATGCATGACATCCTAAGAACAAACCACACAGCGAAAACACGGCCACTGTCACTGGAAAAAGGACCAAAACACCACAAGTCCCTTCTTCTCTGCTTTCCAGTCAGCTCCACGGCTGTTGGTCAACTGTGCTACTCCTCCACAGGAATATAAGGTTGATCAAAACACCCTGAAACCCAAAATGCCTTTTGAGAGTAGCTGTCATGAGCAAAAGCTTGAGAGAATAGCTTATGTTTATATATTTTTGGGGAAAATGCTCCATGAAGAAATTGTTCCCTACATACCTTATTTAAGTCAAATCAGGATCAAATCAGAAGAGCAAAGAATCAGAACTAAGAAATTTGGCCACAAGTATCACCCTTCCACCAAACAGCAAGCAGGAAAAGCTGTAAGATGAGACCTCTGACAAATGGTTTAAGAGAGGGGATCCTGTTTTCTGAACTTGCTCTTCCCACCAGGGATTCATCATGTCCAGCCCCTGCTCTCCATCGCACGAGCGTTACCGTCAGTGGTACGACCAGGCTGGGTACCACGCTCCACACCGCTGAACAAAAAGCTCATCATCAAAGCCCCAATCCTACAAAAACAGTCTGGGGGGAAATTTGGCACAAAGGGTTCATTCAAAGCTTGCTGAGGAACGAATCCACTTTTTTTTCCAGTAGATTTTGAGTGACGGATGACAAACTTGTGATCACAAATTTAGTCTTTCACATTGTAACAGAGTAATATAAATTAATAAATATTTGGTTTTGAGCAAGTTAACCAAATCCTTAAAATAATATTACTGTGGGAATGCCGCTCAATGCATTTAATCTTTGGGCCATTTCTTTTTAAAGCAATAAAACCTTTTGCTGTTCCAGACCAATGAAAAAAAACAGAATGAGAATACTGCAAATGAACATTGTGGGGTTTTGAAAATGTACTGCCGACAACACAGGAAGAAATGTCCATTTTATTTTCAATCTGTTTTAACGAAAATGGCATCTAAAGAGATAATGAAGGAATAAATGTAAAGACTACCTATTGTGAAAGAGATTAAGATCACCAGGATTACTGAAACTGAACAAATTTCTGGGTTGAATGGTAACAACCAACTTCAGTAAGTTACATACAAATAAATCTCAAAAACAAAAGGGCACAGGAATGTTTGGAAATGTCCTCCAGCAGTTTTAAATAACCTTGGAGGTACTTCTAACCTGCAGCTGAAAGGACGTGCTCTTAACAAGCTGGCAGTATGACTGTACCATACCTTTAATTCTGAGCAATGGCAAACTCTTCAAGAATGAGGATCTTGGTTTGGTAACCAAAACATAAACAAGCAGACGATTCTCACACAGCTTTGCCCACAGTAATCCTGCATTTTTCCATACTAAAAAGTCAAACCTACTAATGTGTTAGAAAGAGGGGGTGCTGCAACAGCATAAGGAATCCTAATGGATGAATGCAAACCACTGAAGATCATTTTAATGATGTGACCACCAGTCTGCAGGTACCTGGGAGCATGTGGGGAGTTACTTGCCGCCTCCTCCTCGGTGGAATGGACCTTAACCATGCACATCGCACTGCACAAACCTACTGATATGAAAGATTAGTTGAACAGCCTCAGCAGATGGAGCTGGAAGTTACTTTTAGCAGCTTCTCTGCCCTCTGGTCTGTGTGATGGCAATGAACTCCCTGCCCTCTGTTCAAAGACTGCTCAGGGTTGGGGGCAGGCAAAAGTAAGGAGAAGCCTCCACACAGAGCCATCCCCTCCTCAAAAATCAGCACAGAGTTGGCTTCATGGTAGAGCTTCTACCCAGCTTCTGTCTGCAGAAGGGCCATTACTTCCTAACTGGTTTTGCAAAAGCTAGACTCCTACTTCAGTCCTTAGAAAAATCAACTTTTACACATGCTTGACAGCAGCGGCCATCTCTGACCAGCAGCTCCCCACCAAGATGTGGCACTCAGGGAGCTGGCTGAGGCTCCCAGCTCGCTCCTGCCTTCAGAGGTTTTGCTAAACAGCAGCGTTTTGTTTCCAACCCACAAGAGCCCACAGAGACATGCCAGCTTAGAGGCAGCACGAAAAATCTTTCAAGAAGGGATCTGACATTTTCTTTTGTTCTCATTTCTATAGTATTTTCTCCTTCGGGAAGGTTATTTGAAGTTTCTGGCGCTGACATTTAGCAAAATGGTAAATATGAATTGGAATAGCTGTTCATAGGTAGTGACGCAGCGCAGGACAGGGTGGCCCACTGGAGGGGCACTGGCCAGAACACACGTCATTGCTCCCACAGTTTTGGTCTTTGCTGTGCTTTTCTCTTTCCCCCACACAAATTAACCCACAAGCACCAGTACAGGGGTGCTACATTTTACCACAGAGGTTTTCCTAATCTAGTGATCCATCATAAATCAGAGACATCTCTTCCATCTCGCTCTAGCAAAACAGCTTCGTGACCAAAAGGATGCTTACGCATGCAAATCTTTCCTTTTCACAATCACAAAAATTCCCCCAAAATCCCTATGTGTAATCAGCTCACTGCAAAAAATTGCCAGATAAATCTGCCTCTAGCAAAAATGCTGATCAGAAGCTGAAAGACAGACCAAGACATCAAAACTGCCCTTTTTCAGTTCTTTATGAAAGAACTCGCTGCAAGGGAACGTATTTTATAGCACCAACATTCTTGAATAAAAGTTGCATTTAGTGTCACTACATTGATTCACTTCCACTTTTGTCTACAAAAACCTCACCACAAGATGCCAAATGCTCAGCACCACAGAGCTCCCCGTTCTCTGACGGATGCTCTGCGGGTCTATTAGCATTCAGAGCCCCACACGATCACGACTTCCAGGCACACAAGCGCATGCTGAGCAAATCAATGTAAATCCTACGGCCTGATTTCCCTAAGTGCAGATTTTCCACAGAATAACCAAAGTCAAAACAAGAAACCGGATCTCAGCCCTCCTGCAAAATCAGCAACAATTCAGAGCTTCAATCAAAGCTTTCGTTAAGATTACTTTGACTGTATTTTTATCACTTAAACCAGAAATGTCTGCGTTATCACAACTTTTTTAAAAGCAGAAAGAAATATCATGTCTTCCACACAGAGGAAGAGAATACCAAGTGTTTATATCCTTGTAAACATACGACAGCATCTGAATTTCTATCCAGAAAACATTAAATATGATCAAAACTTTTAACATCTGCTAGCACTGCTTCAACTGCCTGCCTGTGTATTCACGTTTACAAAAGCAGTCAGCAAGTCAGTGAAAAATAAAGCAAGAAAAACTCTCGTAGAAAACCCTGTCACAGTGAACAGAACTGAGCCTGCTGCGCCGAGCAAGCCACGTCCCACTCCTCTTCATCTGTTTAGGCCATTGTAGCCTATAAAGGATACTGGATGCCTCACAGTGACATTCCTCTTTGCCAAAACACCCTGAAAATTTACAAGAAGGATTTGTACAGACTGGAACTAGCCCCCCAGTACATCAATATGCTTCCTTAAGGTCCCCTGTGGCAAAAAAAAAAAAAGCAGAACTCCAAGGACACAGACACGCCAGAGCATTCCAAACACCTCGGCACTTCTGCTTCAGCCATCGCCGGAGGCTTTGGGCCAGCCTCGGGGTTTATTTATAAGCCCTCAGTAGCCCTCACTGCTGTGGTTAAGGGCTACTGTTAGTCAGGCTTTCCCACCTTCCCATTTTATTTGCAAAATCGTCCAAGGCTTATTTTGCAGCAAGCCTGTGTTCGCCCAGCTGGTGTCCAACACAATCCTCAGGGGCAGACCCCCAACTTCTCCAAGAAAAATTAGATGTATTTTACACACTACAGTCACTTTGCACATGTGCTGTAAAACCAGCCAAAATTGCCAAGTTTGTGGCACTAGGGTAATATTCCCAGGAGCACCAGACTTTCTACACACAGACAGGTTTCTCAGAATCTCAGAAGTGTGATGCTGATACACGAACAACTACATACACACACTCCCCATCCCCCCCTTCGGATGTGTTTTAAAACACCAACCATTTACAACAGCTTGTGCTATTTCATAAGAGAAGACACAGAGCAAACATCAGCGCCTGATGTATTTTAAGGTGGCTGAAGTGCAAAGCACAGCATGCAGATGTAGCAGGAGCATGCTGGTGCACATCATGTCCCATCTCTCAGCGCAGAGGCCAACACACGTTACGCCAGACGCGTGAACAGTTCCCAAAGCAGGGAACCCTTTTCCCCTGGCTTTTTACCTCCTTCCCAACCCATGAGTCTCACATGTGCCCCACCGTTCCTCACCGGTCAGGGACTGGTCCTCTCCCAGCACGTTCCATTCTGCCGGCAGTTTCAGGTGTCGAAACGCCAAAGCCACTTTCTCATCCAAAAAGTCCACGTCGGCAGCAGGTGGTCTCGACCGGTCCAAGAACCGGGTGAAGTTTAGTGCCTGCTGGTTGCCGGCGCAGGTGGCCAGAAACTGGGCAGCATCGTAGGCTTCATCCTGGACAAACTGGAAACTCTCTTCTGCCACAACCAGGATGGGATGACCTTCTCTAGAGGCACAAAGTGCCACCTTCACTGTCTCACAGCAGTCATGGCCTGAAAAATAAAAGCAAGGGAAATGGTTAAAAAGAACAATTGCATGTGCTGAAGAAACACAACTGAGCAATCCTTTTGACTCACATAGTCTTTACATGCAATCAGGTAAGAATAAGCTGTTGAGGGTCACAGCTCTAAACACCATCTTGGGAATTTATATGGATCATCAGAGGTAAGTATTTCTTACAGACTTTCAAAGGAAAAGATGTGTAACTCTTCTCTGTCACAACATAAAACAAGAAAAGTAAGCCACCCCTATCTGACCAGACTATTGTTGATCAGCAACACATGAACTCAAGAGCATTAAGTAATTCAAATTAAGATTTTGCCAACGCACCAAAAGCCAGATTATATGGTCAAACTTTTCTTTTCCAGCTCCACAGGACTCCAGTCACTCACCAGAAACTACAATCCAAGTGCTGCAAAAGTAAGTACTCCAAATGCTTTCACAACACTTGGCTTGTACCGAAAACACTGCAATTTCACCTAAAGCAAAGACCTAAATGGCGAGGAGAGTGCGACCTGCCCAGGCATGCCGCGTGCGTGCCCTCAGCGCCCATGCTCACCGCTGCACCTGCCCCTTGTGTTTGGGTTCACATGACAACGCTAAAACTAAGCTGTTTCTGCTAAATAAAACATGGAAAGGGCTACTATCCATATTTACAAAACAAGGAGGTTTCGTAACTTTATTTATTTAGAGCAGGGGAAACAGGAGAAAGGATGCCTTGGCCCGGCAGCAATTTCATTTGACTCAGAAACTAAAAAATAAAAACCAAAAAAACCCCCCAAAAAATCCCACACCAAAAACTCACACCACCTTTTTGCGATTTTAAAAGGCAAAATATACTCTGTGTCCACCACAACCAGCATTTGTAATGGTCGGACATGCCCCTTCAATAATAAGGTTTGTGTTTCAAGTTCACCGTGCGGCACAGTTTCTTGTTCCAGTCTCGGACTGACGTCATGGCTGTTTTTGCCAGAACAGCATGGACCCTGCGCTAATTACTGGAAAAGCTTCTTTTTGCCCATGACCTCAGCATACTGCTACATTCATGAAACCCTGCTTAATTAAATACAAAATGACGATTTATTTTTAAAGGCTTGAAAATTCAATTTAAGCCCCTATTTGCGGTCAGTGGGAAAGTTTCCTTCTTGTGTCGGGGCCCTTTGCTGTTGATTTCCCTGACAAAAGGAAAAATATGTCCCTAATCTTCATGGTCTTTCAGCCAACCTTCCAAATCTGTTCTGAGGCTTTTGGCATGTATACAGGTTTCGCCTGCTGAAAGAAGCAATCCCGAAGTTAATTGAAAGGTCAAAACTGCTATTAGGACACCGTGGGTAGCACCAAAATTGTCAGAGACGAGGCTGTGCGGCTTCCTAAGGAGACCAAATGCAGCTGGAAAAGTATCAAAGCCAACTGCAGAAGGGGAGGAAAACACACATGGATGTTGCTGCAACAGATCAGTACAACCAGGAGGCTCTGAAGCTGAAAGCTGAGAAAACGTCTTTCCTTCCAGCACCGGGCATCTATTAGCAAGAGGATGATGTGAAAGCTGAAGGAACAGATTTACTAGTATTGATGTTGTAATAAAGAATAAGGGTAGGAAGACCCGCTTCTACTGGTCTTGGAAATACTGCACATGCATCCTAATACATCACCAGTCAATAGAATGGGCAGGGTTCTCAGCAGCCCAGATGAAACCCATTCACAAACTCCACTCCTCCTCACAGTAGAAGCCTCAAATGTCAAAGGGAGAAGCAGGGGGACAGTGCATCTTTGGGGGAACATGCCTTTAACGCAGTTCAGAACTGGGCATCCCTCCCCCTACGTCTTCTTGCTTTGCTCATCTTCCTAAGGACATTAGAATAGGGATCAGGTAAGACTTCTCGATTTTTTTTATAACCCCCACAAAAGCAGCGAGCTGCATGCAGCCTGCTGAGAACGCCGTGCTACCCTACGGGAGCTGACTCGAGTGCTGTGAACTTGGCTCTCCCTCACGCAAAGCAGTGGAAGGTCTCTAGAACAGAGAGTTAAAAAAAAAAAATCATAATAAAAGACTGCTTAATAGAATGAGAAAAGCTAAACCTTTCTTTTTTTTTTTTCAGAACTATCTTCTGTCTATTCTCATAAGAATCCCATCTGCAAAATAACCTAGCATACGGCTACGGTGCCAGAAAGCCAGTGGACTTTCAGTATTGAAGCAGGAGGCAAACATGGCCCAGGAGCAGCTGCAGAGAAACACTGGGACAGTCACTTCCCTCTCATGAAGCCAAACAACTCTTCTGTGGGACAGCAAAAGCTTCTCCATCCTGACAACAACTAGAAAGACCTCAGTCAAGACACGCGGTCTCCTTAAACTGGCACATGATGGATGTACACAAAGCTCCCTTGGATGGAGCGCATGTGAAACACCAGCCCCAAAATTTAGCAAAGCTACAGCAGCTTTTAATGCAACGCAAGGGGAGGTGACAAAAAGGCTACGTCTTGATCTGCAGCCAACGGTTCTCTTGAAACTCCCCCAGATATCTAACACAGCCTTGAAAGGGAGGTGACAGAGCTGACGATCCGTTTTCATCTAACAGGATCAAACAAGCATCCTGCTAAACCCTGGGGAATGTTCTTCGAAAGGGCAACCGCTAGCAACGCTTTGATGTTCTCCTTCTCTACATCTGAGAAGATGTCAGACTCAGGGTGTAAGAGCCTGGGACAGGTTCTGACTTTTGGCAAGCAGTTCAAACGAAAGAGGAGCCAGTAAGTAACAAGCATGGCCAACACTAAAAAGACTGCTCAAGAGGTCTCTGCCCCCCCGCTTCAAAACCGCTACAGGAACGATGTAAGCAAACATGTCCCCAGTACTTGAACCTTCTGAAGGAACCACTTTGTCAGTGGGGCAACGCTTCTCTCCACATCAAAGACAGTTGCTTCCTTTGCCTAGACTAATATCTGAACTTTCACAGCCCCTTTTCCCAGAGCACTTGCAAAAGTGAGCTAAGCTTTCTGGCGCTCTCAGGAGATAAGTGGTTATCATCTGTAAAACAAGCCCAAATCTGTTGTTACGAGGTTCAGTAACTTGCCCAAGATCACAAAGAGCTCCGGGCAGTGCCAGAATAGACGCTATTGGTCTTGAACCATCCCTCTTCTGCTCCAGTTGGCAGACAGCAGGGCTTCCTCCTAACGTGGGTTAAACACCAAGTCACGCACTCCGCAAGCATCAGGGCGTTCGACCACTGGCTGCTGTACCCCCCTCATACACCTTCCCCAGGAGCGGAACAGAAATATGTCTGACTTGTTAAAAAGGTAATAAAAACCAGAAAGAGTGACGAGCCTATTTATAAAGGTTTGCACTTTGTCAGGCTGCAAACACATGTAACTGAAAAATTACACAGATGAGCGTGCCCGCAGAAGGAAAGAGCAATCTCTGTGCTTCACAACGTGATCACGTTCACGGTGCCGCCCAGCACCCCTCCTGACCGCCTTTCGTCTTCTCCAGAGATCAGGCCCTCTGGCCAAAACAGCCATCACAAGCAAATGATGAAACACTGAACATCGTCACACTGGTATCACCCAGCAGGACCCCAGTTTCTACCTTGCTGACGTCTCATCCTGCACAGAGTAACTTCTTCAGGCGCATAGCTAGGCTTCTCCATACTTTTTTTTTTGCCACAGTATGAAATTAGGTAATTTATGCTAGCCTAACTGTGATAAAAGTCAAAAAACCCACCCCTTAATTCTTCCTGCATTGCATTTTACCCCATTTCTTCCTTTTCCTCCTCAGTTACTTTAAAGTCAGCTTGGAAATAGCTACTTGGAGCCGTTTTGAGAAGTGCCAACATATTGCAGGAAAAATACAGCAATTAAAAAAACCCTATTTCAGTCTATGCAAGGATGGGAGCAGCAACTGCTTCTGTTGTGATAACGCGAATTCCACATCTTCACGTAAAACCACGCTTTAAAATGTAGTTTAAATGAGACAATAGCTCTTGAACTAAAGAATTCCTTACTGGGCCACTTACTGAAGCTCACTTTGGGCAAGAAACAAGAACAAAAAACGAAAACATGTTGTTCCAGTCTCTCTGTACTTCTCTCTGAAGAGATGAGACGCATCAGTGCGACAGCACCGCCTCCTCTACATGCCAGCGATGCAAAACAACAAGCAGAAGAAAAGGTGGAGGTTTCTGAGCTGTAAGCAATCAACAGAGAAGTTAACGCACGGCCTTAGACCTGGCCATCTAAATGGGTACCTGTGGCTGTGATCTGGGGCGCGGTTAAAAGGGCTGCAGCAGATTCAGACTTTTTCTCACTAAACAAGGCGCACATGGAGAAAAAACACCCCTAAAGAGAGCTTTACCAAAACATGATTTCATTTCCTGCTCCTCTAACTGTGGAAATCCTGTCCAAACCTCCTATTTTCAGAGTTCACATTTGAGCTATCAAACAATGGGTCCCCAGCCTGGGCGGCTATTTAAAGCCCCGCGGGAAGCACATGCTTGGGTTTGCCTGGTAGGTGACTAAGGACGCTGGTGCTAATTCTGTCTTCTGAGTTACCGTGGCGGAGCTGGGTTGAATGAGGTCTTACAAAGAGATATAAGCAGGAAAGTAAAGCCAGACAACAAGCGTGGTGAATCTCCTGGAGCATCTTGGATCTGCATCCAAGAGATGTTGCCATCTGGTGGCTCCTGGACAGGGAAATCAAGAGATCTCCTGTGGCCCTCCAAAAAGTACTTCTTTCCTGCTTCAGAAACCCCAAATTCTGGTTCTGAAAATCAGAGCCCATATTTGAAGTGCATCTGCGTGATTTACACAGTTATTGTACTCACTCTTGCAACACAGGAAACCTTATGAAATCCATAGGCATGGCACCAGTAACAGATGGGAGCCTCTGTTTTTTTCTTTTAAACCCTCGATTATTAATATGGAGAGCGTAGAAAGATATTTTTTTTTTTATCCTGTAGATGCCCTAAAAATCTATAGGAGTGTGAGACCCCACACATTACATCAT